TGGCACCCTCCTTTTGACGCCACAGGTTGGAGAGACGTGAGTCCTCTGTGGTCGCCGGCATAATAAATGACCCTGCAATCTGGCATACTTTTGTCTTGGTGCTAACTTTCTACGCTCGGTCCAATACAACACAGGGACATGTGATTTGAAGTTAAAGCACTTTTACTTAAATCTCAAAAAAACAAAAATCCCAGCTAACACCTGGCTCTGTGTATATAAGGCAACCTCTAAAGGTGCAACATCTGATAGTTCAAGAGTAAATGATTACGTGTATAGATCTCCCAACATTCATGCTTGACTCTCTGTTACCAGAGGAGTAAAACTTCAGTTGGATTGCCTGGTTCCCACACCAGGAGTCGAGCCCAAGCCCGGGCTGCCTGGGCGAAAACCAGGAATCCTAACCGCTAGGCCTGGCTCGGAGGCTCTTGGCCTTTCTAACTCCGAAGAATGGGGACAGGGGCCCCAGAGGCACGGTGAGTTTAACCGTTGTAATAAAAATCGTGGACCCAGAGAGTTTTGTGGAAGAGCGATTTATTAGACAGAGAGAGAGAGAGAAGGCAGATCCCACGCTGTCATGGGAGGAGAACCCAGAGAGGGAATCTGTTCAGGTAGGAGCAACTGAAGTTTTAACCCTTGAGTTATTCCCTCTCCATTCATGTTCTCATCCAGACTTCCTCAGGATTGATTGATCTTTGACTCTGATACCAGATTGGCTATTTGTTTTACAACCCTGAATCACAGAGCCCCCTCCTCCATGAGCTGTGGTGGGAATTTAGGGGACAAAAGCCCAACCCGGCTGGAAGATAGATAAAGAAATTTACCTGGCCTGGGTGGAGGAAGTGCTCAAAGAGCACTAGTCGCCTGAGGCAGGGAGCCAGGAAATTCCCATACTTGAAACCACGCCCCTCACGGACCCAGGAAGAGAAGTTTCTTTAACACAGTCCCACATTTCATTCCCCTTGATCCTTTTTTTGAAAATCTTAGCACCTCCACCAATGTTCATGTAATCTCAGAGAAAGATAGGACTACTCAGATTGATTTATTTTCTTTTACCAACTCTGGCACAAGCTGTTATTGGGATGTTTCCATTTCATGATTCTGCACATGTTTACACAGCCATAAGTGTTTAAGTGAGAAATATTGCTTTGCTCCTACTTCACTATCTCTGTGTATGTGAATGTGTAGTATGCGTGCTCATGTATAAACACCCCAACGAACTCCAATGAGTATATGATCTTACTATATCCTGGAGTGGGTCAATTTATTCTATAATCTATAAAACACAATGAAACTATCTTTTTGCAACTGTTTGCAATCTTTCTCAGCTGTGGTACCAATGTTTTCCCAAAAACTGAGTACTGATTTATGATCCCAGTGACAAATTAACACAATGTTTTATTATTTCCAGAATAATGACCTCAGAAAGATTTTATTTAGCCAGCAACCTGGATGGTTGAGGAATGAGGGCTATTCCTTGAATATAATAATTGACATTAGAAAGTTTCCCTCCTGATATGAAATTTCAGAGAACAGAGCATCTATAATCCAAAATGTCTAATAAGCCAATGTGGACATTAGAGAATGGTCACAATGTTTTATTTATGTTTAAATGCTTATGTTACAGTCATAGCTAGAGGGAAACTTTCTATTGCCATCTTTGCAATTATTATGTTGTTTCTGTTTTACTATCTATTGTAAAACTACAAAAAAAGGAATTGATGAATTCACATGATCCTTGGAATATGTTCATGATCCCACTGCTTGCTTTGGAGTGGTTTTCTGGGGAGTTGTTTGTTTGTTTGTTTTGAGACAGAGTTTCACTTTTATTGCTCAGGCTGGAGTGCTGTGGCATGATCTCAGCTCACTGCAAACTCCGCCTCCCAGGTTTAAGTGGTTCTCCTGCCTCAGCCTCCCAAGTAGCTGGAATTACAGGCGTCTGGCACCACACCTGGCTAGTGTGTGTGTGTGTGTGTGTGTGTAGCAGAGATGTGGTTTCACCATATTGGCCACACTGGTCTGGAACTCCTGACCTTAGGTGATCCATCCGCCTCAGCCTTCCAAAGTGCTGAGATTACAGGCGTGAGCCACCATGCCTGGCCACTTTGGAATGCTTGAGAAATCAGCACACCTGGTGTCTTTCAACTTGAAAAGGACATGATGATGCAGAGCCACCTGGCTAGTTACCTAGTTAACTATACTAGAGCATACTTGACCTTTGGTGACAGCTTTCCAACATGCTGACTCCTGCCTCTTTCACTTATTGATGTTGCCTATTCTGGTTAGCATTTATCATGATCATCTGAGCCGTTTCCCATTGACTGCACCAGAGTTAGTTTCTCTATGGGTTTTGCAATAATTGCCATGTCTATTTCAAAAACCCAAAGCAACAAAAATCTACCATTTAGCAACAGCACTTGTTTTTAATTGTTCCTATTTCAGCGCTTTTATCAATAGATACTTACGCACACTATGAATTTGTTCACATTCATTTCATCATATGGTCTATCATTAATTCAATAATTACCTTGCCCAGATTAGCACACACGTGTTTCTGGAATCACTCAAGATGCTAGACCTTTTAAGAAAAAAACAGATCTATCCCTAACTTCATGGCACGTATAGTCTAAAAGTGCTTACTTATTCAAGTCAAAACAGAGTCCTTAATGACAGATCATTTTTGCAAGCTACCAGAATTTTAAAACCATGGTTTTTCTCAAGAAAATTGCTTTCTCATTATTCCTGGGTCATTTGCTTCTGCTTTTTGCTATTCCCCTAACTGTATTCATTTTTACTTATCAGAGAGGTGTAAATTGATGAAAATTAAATATTTCCACTTTATTTAATATTGCAGTTTAGGGAAAAGATTGGAACTACAGCCTAAAATCAATTTTGAATACAACTAATTTTTTTCATTCTAATCCTCATTTAGAAATTTTGCCTGAGGACAAGTGAAATAGAATGCATTTCATACAGAATGTTTTTCAAAGTGAAATGAAAATAGTAAGATGATATTAGACTCACATTGAGATTTTGTGTATATATGTAGTACACAGTGCCACCCCAGAGCAGGACTCTGAAGACATCATCTGTTTCCTTTCTGGTCCCCAAATGAATCAGGTGATTCTGAACTGGTGTCAAGGGCTAGAATATTACAAAACCATGTTGACTTTGATTATCTGTTAAGGTAAACCGGAGTCCAAGGAGCAGAAAGTGTTATGGGCCAGGCAATGCTGATGGGTTGGTAGGGCGCATAGCAATGGCAGATAATAATCTCTCAGGGAACAATTCTTACACTTTCATGGTCATTCTCCTATCTTCCTACCTATGCACCAGGCATCTTAAAAGGAAAGGAACACAGAGGGAACTGAGAAATCAGAGTTTTCTTTGTGGCTCTGTCTCTTTTCTGCATCTTGCTGTGTTAACAGAGCCCTTCTGGATGCCCACCATCCACCAAAAGCACCCAAGGAGTCCACGGAGAGCGAGGAGCAGGGAGAAGGTCAGACAGGAGAGGCTCACTGGGAGACACTGAACACATGGAATGAGTGGAGTGGAGGAAGAAATGTGTGGTCTCATTACGAATGAGGCATCAGTGATGATGCCTCCAAATCCAGCAGACCTCTGGGCAGAGTTCCAGGCCTGAATTAGGATTCTGCAGTCATTTTTATGGAAAGCACTTTTCCTAAATGTCACTAGCTTTTACTTTAGTCACCTCTGTCCAGATCTCATTAAAGTTCCTGGCCATTGCGCTCATTTTATCTTCTAAGTGCAAATGAGAAACGGGAGTGGGTCAATGCTCACACCAACCGAGCACTTGAAATAAGAACTTGAGCAGGACACAAGAAGCAGAGACTATGGGACACCACCAGCTTATGAAAATGTGCTGCAGCACATTGAAGCTGGAGGCATCAAAACTGGCATCTTCTACACAAACGCAGTCGCCCTCTCTACTATTTAGCACCATAGAGCTTGAAAGCCCAACAAAGAGCACCTCATCTCAGCTAATCCCTTTCCTAAAGGCCACAGGAACAGTTCTATTAACATGTGGCTAGCCCAACACCATCCAGGCTCTCCAATTTCCAATCCTGCACTTATTTTACTGCTAATAATAGCTCTACTATTTGTGGTGCCTATTACGTGCCAGGTATTTATTCTAAGCGCTTTACAGTTGTTGCCTTACTTAATCCTACAGCCACCCCCATGATGTAGGTATGTATTACTGTTGCCATTTTCAGATGAGGAATCTGATACCCAGCGTGGGTGCCTAACTTGGTCAATTCCAAAACTGACAAAAGGGCTGAGCTTCCTACACTGAATCCACACACTCTCCCACACCTAAGATCCATGCTTATTCCCCACCACCAACCTTCCGCTTCCTTCACCCCAGGGACACATCTGTGGACAAGACTGGCTACTTGATGCTTCCTTTAGCCCCACTTCATCATGCAGTAAACTGCTAAATTATGATTGGTATCCGTGTGGCACACATAAAATCTCAGAACACACAGTTGTAAATGTAATAATGCTCAGTTATCTCTCTAAAGTTGGGGGGAAAGAATAATAGTTTGCTTGTCTTCATTCTTTCCAAGATTCTTGTCTCTGGAAACGCTTTAAGCAATTTCATGCCTAAGAGGACCTTCATTCTCTCCAGTTTCAAAACCTTTAGTTTTACGTAAAAAACAAAAAATGTATAATCATGAAATAACAGGGGGAAGAAGAAAGCTGATATAATAGTGAGCTGAATCTTTACTGGCTCTGATAAATTATTACCAAATTGGCAGTTGAACCCCATGCCAGAAGCAGAAATGTGTGCGAAGCCGCAGGCTAATTATATCAAATCCCTTGCAGGTAGGAAAACTCCCATTGCTCGTAAACCACCAACCAGGGCTGCCTGACGATGTCTGCTAGCTTTTCCTTTTCTTTTTTTAATTTCTGGTGCAACAAAAAAAACACCCTTTGAAAAAATAAGCTGATAAATAACTTGCTTTTTTCCTGCTGCACAGAACCTGAAGCGGGTAGCTGAGACCTGGATGGATGAATTTGCCGAGTACATTTATCAGCGGCGGCCAGAGTACAGGCATCTCTCCACGGGGGACATCTCTGCCCAAAAGGAGTTGCGCAAGCAGCTAAAGTGCAAGGACTTCAAATGGTTCATGGCTGCAGTGGCCTGGGACGTGCCTAAATACTACCCTCCAGTGGAGCCCCCGCCTGCTGCCTGGGGGGAGGTGAGGAAAGGTTGCATGAAACCTGCCGCCTACCTGTGAGACTGCATTCCTCCCGTTTAGCCTCAGGTGGTGGGAGGGACTGCTAACACCTTCACTTTTACCCTCCAGCCAAGCAACATTCATTTAAATCACTCAGTAAGGAATGTTCAACTTGTTTTTAACAATTACTAAATTTCGCCTGCAGAGCTGATAGTCTAACCCAGAATTAGTGACCACTGTTGATTCCTCAGATGATTTCTGGTTGTTTTGTTTTTTGTTTTGTTTTGTTGTTTTGTTTCGTTTTTGAGATGGAGTCTCACTCTGTCTCCCAGGCTGGAGTGCCGTGGCTTGATCTTGGCTCACTGCAAGCTCTGCCTCCAGTTTCCAAGCAATTCTCCTGCCTCAGCCTCCCAGGCTGGAGTGCAGTGTTGTGCTCTTGGCTCACTCCGCCTCCCAAGTTCAAGCGATTCTTCTACCCCAGCCTCCTGAGTAGCTGAAATTACAGATGCATGCCACGACACCCAGCTAATTTTTGTATTTTTAGTAGAGATGGGGGTTCACCATGTCGGCCAGGCTGGTCTTGACCTGTCGCCTCAGGTGATGCTCCCACCTCGGCCTCCCAAAGTGCTGGGATTACAGGTGTCAGCCACCATACCTGGCCAAGAATTTTTAAAATACACCTAGAAAATATTTTTATTTGAAATTAGAGAAATCACCATCAGCGTTTGTAGAGAATTAACATATCTGTCATACGAGTGTGTAAATATGGGTACCTGATATCCATGATAAAAAGCCTCTGTCCTGGTGCACAGCCTTTTTGCTATTGGTATAGGCAAGTACAAGGCAATGAGGGGCTTGGCTATTATCCTAACCAGGCTGTGCTGTACAGAATCATGAAGAAATGCATTCCCATAATATACAGAACTGTGGCACATGCAGCCATATTGATTCCTTAAATAAGCACCAACCAATCTTTCTACCTCTAAACACTTCTATTCAGTGGAAATAGAATGGAAAGAGCTGAATATCCCCAGGTCCCAAGTTTAAAATTTCTATCGTTTGGCATAGAAAAGACTATTGCACTGGGTTCGATTCCATTCAATACTGTTACTATAACCTTTCTCCACAGAATAGAGTGTGCTAAAGCAGGACTAAGATTGGATAAGGTGTATTTATCCTAGCAATTTAACCTGCTCTTAGCAGAGGATATGAGGGAAATGCATCAAGGGTGGACGTTCACACCATCCCACTTCTCCAGCCTTTCAGAAATCAAGAGTTGATTGTCTTGCATTGTGGAGGAATATCATCAGTGTCCTTGGTTTTATAGTCTCTGGAAGATGATGCTATTGCCTAGATAGTGTCTGTGGCTGCAGAGCTCTGAGAAAGGGCTAGCCAAGAGCATGGTAGGAAGGACCAGAGGATGCAGGCAGTGTTCCTGGGTGAGCTGTTCCAGATCCCTATGGAAGATGTGGTAAGTCACAGGTGCACTGCTTATTGTGTTCAGAGGGTGACTCTGTTCATGCCTGGGACACCCAGGATGAAGGAGAGAGCCAGTCCTGCCACTGCGCTCTCCATCTCCTCATGGATTTTGCACGTGCATGTGGTCCTGACTTTATCTGCTTCGTTCAAGTTAGTAATTCAGTCTCATCCTTTGCCTCTTAAACATTTCATTAAAGCTTCTTTAGAACATTAGTAATATTAGCCTGCTTGTATTAATTTAACTATCTACCATGGACTTAATTCATAGCAGTGGAAATCTGAAGTAGACAGATAACAGAAACAACTTTCCTATCCTAACGTGTTAGAAGGCTTAGGAAGTGAGATCCTTCTACAGGTTTTTTCATAAGGTTCTGTTTGTCATCTTTCTATGATGATTTAAATGCTGTCCTGCCTAGTGACTAAGAGATACACTTGAGGAGCCCACAGTATCATTATGTGATTCACTACAGGGCTAAAATCTCATCAATCTTTTATCTGCCTTACGTAGAAAGGTAAATTTGTCTTCCTTCTGGTTACTACATTCTTCAAACTGCAACTGCTCACATTTTTCCCACATTACCTGACTAAACCATAACCTGAATTTATTTAGCACCTTTTCTAAATAGGCTGAAATCTTCCATTCAGGTTCTAGGAAGGATACAACCTTCCAGGAATAATCAAAATCAGAATCATCTTAAGCCCAAGTAGGCTATGCCAGTATGTTTGTATCTATTACCCTAGATTGCCTTATACTTTTACAACACTTGCCTTATCCCTGGAGACATTTGCATTCATTATTTCTGGCTTAAACAATCAGACATTGAGAAGATCAGATTTTTTATCTTTCCTCAGACAAGGATTTGCTCTGTCACACAAGCTGGAGTGCAGTAGCATGATCATAGCTCACTGCAGCCTCAAACTCTTGGGCTCAAGCAATCCTCCCACCTCAACCTCCTGAGTAGCCCAGACTACACATTCACACCACCAGTTCCAGCTAATTCTTTAAATTTTTTGTAGAGACAGGGTCTCAATATGTTGCCCTTGCTGATCTTGAACTCCTGGCCTCAGGTATTCCTCTCACCTCAGCCTCCCCAAGTGCTAGAATCACAAGCATGAGACAACATACCTGGCAACAGATTTTATTTTTTCTTTTTTAACACAGTGCAAATTTCTTTCCCCAAAGCCTCAGAACAGTAAACAAATAAAGGTCATATTTAGCTTTAGGAAAGAAGAAAATGGGGACGTAGTATATGCGCCAGTTGCCTTCAGTTGTATTTTTTCAGTGAAGATATGATGCATAACAAGAATGAAGACATAGAGCAAGGGAGGAAGGCAAGAAGAAAGAAAATAAATAACAGACAAGGGTTTGCACTGTTAAATACTAGTTTTTTTAAGTATCTAATTCACAGGCATAGTAGATCTCTGAGAGCATAAGTGAAATATGTACATTTAGTGCAGAAGGCAAGTGAAGGATTTGAAATGCAACTTAATCTAAATGAAATAATGAAAAAAAGATTATTTTCTAACTGTATGGGGCGGTAATAACATTTTTAAGGGTAGATAGGCTGGACGCGGTGGCTCACACCTGTAATCCCAACACTTTTGGAGGCCGAGGCGGTTAGATCACCTGAGGTCAGGAGTTCAAGACCAGCCTGGCCAACATGGTGAAACCCCATCCCTACTGAAAATACAAAAATTATCTGGGCGTGGTGGCAGGCTGTAGTCCCAGCTACTCGGGAGGCTGAGGTAGGAGAATCAATTGAACCAGGGAGGTGGAGGTTGCAGTGAGTCGAGATTGTACCACTGAACTCCAGCCGAGCGACAAAGCAAGATTCCATCTCAAAAAAAAAAAAAAAAAAAGAAAAAATTATTAAAAGTGCAGAATACATGTGTTGACCAGCTTAATCTCTGACAAAAAAAAAAAAAACTTTCAAAATGTTGACACGTGCAATTTCTTTTGCCTTTCAAAGGGTTTCTTAAAATAAACTTTTCATTTTGGAATAATTTTAAATTTACAGAAACATTGCAAAGATAGTGTAGGAAGTTCACACATTATCCTTCACCCAGCTTCTTCTAATGTTAACACGTTATATTTACCACATTAACTGTAGTGTATTTAATCAAGCTAAGTAATTAACATTAGTATAATACTATTAACTAAACAGGACTTTATTCAGATTTCACTAGTTTTTCTACTAATGTCCTTTTTCTGTTCCAAGATCCAATCCAGTATAGGAAAGAGCTTTTTAGTTTCCTATAAACTTTAAATTAATTGTTAGAATGGGCAAAGTTCCTACAGAAATGTAATAAGTCAATTACTGTTTCAGTAACGGTGGTTCTTTTAAAGCAGTTATGGGAAGGAACCACAAACCTCCAGCAATGTAAACATAAGATTCCTTTATGGGAGATCTGGGCCAAGAAGCAGGGCAACTCGCCGTTTTATGCACTTGTACTTGGAACAGTTTTCCACCTGCTTGTCTGTGCCAGCCTGATTCTGGGTAAACAATGACGTGCTTAGGCAATTTTTGGCTCTGGTACTTGCAACTTGGCTCATAAAGGATATTTTACAGACCATAAACAGCCTATAAACCTCCACTCACTTCCCTGACAAATTCAGCTGGATTACTGCACTTGTCTCTCGGCTCATCTCCCTGCTTCTGTCCGCCCCCCTTCGGTTTATTCTCAACACAGTCCACTTCAAACAAACCGGAGATGAGGCCACCACTCCTCCATTCAAGTTTTCAGTGGCCGCCATCTATCACTAGGTAAAAATGAAAGTCCTTACTTATAAGATTCTAAACAATCTGAACCCTGTTATGTCCCCTCCAACCTTCTCTCTGACTCTTCAACCCCTGGCTTCCTCCTATCTTCACCCACTGGCCTCATCACCAGTCTTCACATAGGCCAGGCGCAGTCTGACCTCAACACCTTTGCGTTTACTGGTCCTACAGCTTAGCATCCTCCAGTCTCAGAAATCATATGGCTCCCGCCCTTCCTTCCTTCTGGTCCTCACTCAGAAAGTCATCTTCTCAGTAAGGTCTTCCCTAGTCAGCGTATCTAAAATTGCCACAACACCCACACACATGCACATGCATACTTATATACTCCCTACTCCCTTTCCTCCTTTATTTTTTTCCCTAGCATCCATCACTATATAACAAGCCACGTAATTTATTTGTATATCATGTTTCTCATCTATCTCTCCCACTAGAAAGTAAACTCCACGACACAAGGATTTTGTTGGTTTGTTGTGTTGCTATTGCTCTTTTGCAGAAAGACAGTCTCTAGCATATAGTAGGTGCTCCATAAATATTTGTTGAATGAATGAAAGATGAATGAATGGGGAATCCTGACTCCCTGTTGTCCCACCCGCTTTGCCCTCAGGCCTGTGTATGTGAACCCTCTCCAGGGTACACTGAGCACGTACTCCCTCCATGTCTATACCAAGTCCACTTCTTTGGAAAGCTTGGCCAGAAAGACAGTTTGGGTAATGAATCCCAGGTAACTGGTAACTGATTCTGAGGAATGGTCAGGTCTATGGT